AATGTCTGTTGCATCAGAGTCCCCGCAGCAAATCTCTGACCACTGGTAATATGAATGTGTTGTATTGACTTGTTGAAGATAATCATAAAACCACATATTTTCAATGTTTCTTTTCTTTATAGATTAGAAAACAAATGTCTATTTTTTGTAAATAATGATTTTTATAAATGGCTTTTCTTCATAATTTCCCTTAAGCATCCATTTCACAAAATCCCAAAATATGCAATTATTTATCAAACATATTATACAAATAGGGTCCCCATTTCAGAACAAACGTTATGAAATTCTATACATAAGGAGAACATTAAATAACGATTAAGCTGTAATTTAAATGTGACTTTCTTTTCCCTTTGAAAATAAATGAGGAACCTAAAAATAGCATTTTGATTGTTTGTTTTGCTTCTTCGTTTGCTACTTTTAATTAATAATTCTATTTGTTTAATATTCTCTTAACATTAGTTGTATTGTTGACACTAAAAACTAATGTACAATTAGTTTTTAAGGGTATCTGAAATACACGATGCACCAAGGACTATTACAAAGGAGGCAGCTTTGATGCTGGCATTACTGTTTCCCATTGAAATCCTGAAAAGCTCTGGCAATTAAACATGGTTTTTATTTGAGGCAGAATCACTTTGGAATAGCAAATTCATATCAGATCTGAGGCTGCCTCTTCTGGCAGGGGAAGCAGGCACAGGCCTGGGTTCTGACAGTGTCAGTTCAGCAGTGTTAAAGACAGGTGATTCCAGTGTGCTAGAACCAGCAAGGAAGCTTTCAAGGGAGCTTTCTGCCATGGTGAAGGCACTAACACATCAACAGGTAGATACATTCCCTTCTTCCAGGATGGTTTTTCACCTTCCCAGTCCAGCCAATAGTCCTGGAAATTCCAGATGGTCCCCATCTAATACTAACCAGGCCTGACCCTGCTTAGCTTCTGAGATCAGTCAGTGTGAGAGAGATGCTACCACCTGCCAAGGCTGCAAATCAGTTGGGATATTTCTTTGGGAGAGGAAGCAGATAACAACACTTAAGTCCTGCAAGACAACCCTTTTGGTTATCAAGGCATTGTAAACCCAATATGCTTTTCCTTCACTTTGTCTTCAGCAAATCATACACATTTTCAGGAGCTCAATATCACTAGCTAAGTAAATGTGAAATTCTAGCTGGGCAGCCAGTCTCTCCAATGAAAAAAACAAAGTGTGAAATGAATATACAAGAATACCCAAACCACCGATGCAAAGGCATGGAAGAGGAGGAAAAAGGTTTCAAGAGGCTGGAGAGCAATCAGAGTAGTTTGCTTTTTCAATGTACTAGCACTGGTTTTCACTGAATCCCATGCAGTTGATAAGGCCACATCCATTGGCATACAGGTAGTCCTCGCTTAACCACCACTATTGATTGGGACCAGAATCTCCACCATTGAGTGAAGTGATCATTAAGCAAGCTTTGCTCAACAACTGCAATCTGGGCATTCCCGGTTGCAGTCATTAAGCAATCTCCTGAGTCGTTAAGCGGATAGAGTGAAAGAGCTGCCTGCTAAAGGATTTCAGCTCAGTGCAGAGCTGAAATCCTTCTGGCAGGCAGCCCTTTTGCTCTCAAACTGAAGAGAACTGAAGCCCACTGAAGGGTTTCCCCTCCCTCTGTGCACAGAGGGGAAATCCTTTGTGGGGATGGAGGAATGAAGATTTGAGCTCCATTCCTGCAAATTGCAGAAGGATTTTGGCTCCCCTCTGTCCCCTCCACTTGCAACCTTCCCTGCCAGCTTCCCCATTGACTTTTTGGGGAAGCTGGCAGAGATTGCACATGGTCATCATATTATCTGGGGTGCTTGGGAACCAGTCACAAATGCAAGCTGGTTGCCAAGCAACCAAAATGTGGTCACGTGACCGCAGGGGTGGGTAGGGCGGTGTGACATTTTAGATGGCCAGAAGTGCTTTATGGGCTGTAAAGCACCCTTTCCAAGGCTATTGTAATTTCAAACCATCATTAAACAAACGGTCATTAAGCAAGGACTATCTGTATATGAGAAAAAATCCTTGAGTGGTAGGATTTTCACCAGGGCAATCTGTTTTGTATTCCAGTCCATTTTTCTCCCTCAAAACTCACATTTAAATCTTAAAGTTGTCTTCATGTGCATCCAATCTTCACTATGTTAGGGTTTCTTCCCCCACCTTCCTTAATCACTAAAAAGTTCTCAACATTTCATCCATTGTCTCAGAACTGCTCATGCCCGTGCACCAAATGATTAGGGATCCTCTTGTTTCTATATACGTTCCATTTTAATTCCAGCTTCCCAACATTTCTTTTAATAGTCCTTGAGCAACTTATAGACTGCATTTTATGAACTGCCCCATAAAAACATAGAGTGAAGGTAGAAAAAATGGATTCCTTTTAGTTCACTTCCTACACCAAAATCAATCTTAATGATGCAGACCATAAAAATGTATCTATCCATAATATGATAGAATTATTAACAATGGTTATAACACCTACTGCTTTACAGAAATTGCCTTCTAAACTATATATGGAGCTTAACAAAACTTTTTTAATACCCAAAACCTGTATTATTTTAACTTCCTACATTTTTCAGTCTGAAATTTGGCCACCTGTAATCCTACAGAAGGGGCAATTATCTATAATTGTAATCTCATTCTGTCAAGTATTTAAATGATTATAAACAATTTTCTTAAATTAAAATACAAGCAACTATTTCTCTGAAATATGTCAAGTTTTTTTTCAGAAAGCTCCAACAGACCTGCAGATATTGTCAGATTCAATAAAGTTGGGGGGGGGCGAGGGAACCCCAATCATTTGTGGTTTATCCATAAAAATGAATGTCTGGGAGCATAAAATGGGTTCCTGAGCTTTAAAAAAAGAGGCAACCTGCTTGTCTAATTGATAAGATAGCAAAAGTAGTTAGCATACACTTTCAAAACTCACCTAAAAAAAATACTTAAGTCACCAGCTTATGTAAAAAAATTATGCTATGATATATACTAACATATGTCAGATCTGTGTTCTCTCTTTCACACTGTATGCTTTCTCCACCCAGAGTCTGTCAGGTTTGGGGTGGGATATAAACAAAAGGAAAATAAATAAATTTAAAAAACAGAAGACACATCCTCTATTTTCTTTGTCATAGGCAACAACTGCAAATGGTAGAACAATGTTTTCTAGCATTAATAGAAGGCTACTGATTTCACTCAGAGGGCAGCATTACATTGAAAGGGTTGATAAGCCTGGCTTGGGTTGCAATTCAAATAGGATCTCAGGGCCAAAGTCTAGGGCCCCGCAGCACAGCCCAGCCCAGCCTGAACATGCAAATGTTCAAATGCAAAATGCAGATGGGGCTAGTGTAGAGGAAAGAGAAAATGCCTTGAAGGGCACCAGGAAGAGCTGCTACCAAGGCAACAGTCAGATAAAAGGGGTCTGAGCCCAGGCCAAGAATGTGAGTAAACATCTCAGGCAAGCCTCTCCCAGTTCACACAAAGATAAAGGAAGGAGGGGGGGAAGCAGATTCAGACTTGCAAGATTCTGTTACTAAAGCTTTCAGTATAGTAGTTCTGACCTACATGGCATTGGTTTCCTAGTCTGCTCTACCTTGAAGGTCTGACAAATGGCTTCCATCCTGCCTTCCCCTTTTAAGACCATTACAGTGGCTTTAAAAGCAGCACAGTGGCAGTTGGTTGGGCACGTCTGTGGTTATAGACATTCATTTTATGATTTGTACTTTAAAATCTCTATTACCGCTCATTAAAGAAAATGGTGCTCGTTTCCAAGGAAGTGCATTTAGAATCACGACAGCAGAAGCAAACCTGTAGTTATGACATTCCCAGACATTAGTGAACAGGGCTGGCAAGAAGTTTCGGTTCAGCCGCTCTGTTATATCAGGCTACGTAAAGCTGCCGTGAGGGATGGAAGGAAGTGGAGGGATGGAAGGAAGGAGGCAGTGGAGGAAGAAATGCGAAACATTTGCTGCACAAATGAAGGCAGCATGGTCATTTAAGACTGACCTACATTATGGTGAAAACTAAAATCAGCTAGAGCAGTGTTTCTAAACCTTGGCAACTTTAAGATGTGTGGACTTCAACTCCCAGAATTCCCCAGCCAGCATGGCTGGCTGGGGAATTC